GAATCTATTTTTAAAGTTTGTTCATGACCCTTTCTTATAGTCTTGAGACCCACTTTTGCATCGCAACACATGGGGTGAGAAAAACTGCTTTACAAGAGGCAGTGGAGGGTGGGTGGGTAACTGAAGTGGAGGGTCTAGAAAAGGAGTGGACATGAAAGCAGGAGGAGAGGTGGGCTTGGGAGAGTGAGAGCAATATGCATACCTGGCATGTGGAAGCAAAATCAGAACCAGTAGCATGGCAAGGAGAATGGGAAATATTACATGAGGGCCGCACGGGGCCCCTGGCATGTATGAGAGGGGGCAGCTGGGGACACAGAGCCATGGTATGAGGGAGCAGGGAATTGTGGGTGATCCTTTTAATAAAGAGGGATGGAGCATGACACATGGGGAACTTGCTGTGGAACTGAAAGGATGCAAGGAACCCTGGTGTATGGTAAACTCGGTCCATGTTAGGTGTGAGATCTGCCACTCCTACTTCAACTTCCTAAACATGGATATGCTGACCAGATGTTGCCTCCTAAATCTGAAGCCAGCCCACCTGTATGCTCTTAGTGAAAAAGCAGCAACAGGAGTGGTCACTTCTCACTTGGCATTTCCTCTTAGCTTGCCCTGGCCTTAGAGGTCTGATGCTCTAGGAGGTACAAACTGTGTGACTTCCTAATTATTTACTTTGAGCATTCAGTACAGTAACTCTTCACAACCAACTCCGCGTTGCCAGAGCAGGGAGCTTTTACAGTAGGAAGAGGTAGAAGTTACACACCCAGGCTGATGTAATGGCCATTTTAGAACATTATTTAAAGCTCTGGTTGGAAATCGCAGTGGCACACACTTCCAGTGTGAACTGCAAGTGCTTCAGTGAATAGCTTCTGCCAGTGCCCTGATGTCCTCCAAGAAGTCCTTGGGACTCCACAAAAGAGTAGGAGTCTGGCTACCAGAAGTGATTGCAAGGTCGAAAGTCACACCCCAGGTTGTGCTGAACTAACCCTTGCAAAATCACTTAATTTGCCATGTTTATAGCTGTATTTCAGTATGTTGCTATTTTTCGTAGATCTTCCACTTCTCTTCAGTGCTTTAATTTAATATTCTGTAAGCAGGAGCCAACAGCAGTACTGCTGCAATTGCAACAAAAACCTTGAACATGAAGCAATAAAGTGTGGTGGGTCAAAAACAAACCAGCAGATACATAAAAATCTAAGGTTTTCGTATGTGTAAAATTCCCTCCCAAGATGCTATCTGTACATTCATCTCCACTCTAGCATTTTATGACCTCTCCATTTTTTTTCTTTTCTCCAGCGTATGAAATATTGTCAGATCCTGTGAAAAGACGAGCATTTAACAGCATAGATCCTATTTTTGATAATTCGGTACCTTCTAAAAGTGAAGCAAAAGAGAATTTCTTTGAAGTTTTTTCACCAGTGTTTGAAAGGAATGCCAGGTAAGCTGCACCACAGACTTTTCGGCTGCTGTGACCACTGGTGAGAATAGGGTATTTGCGGTCTAGTGCACTGTGTCTGTGCCTGGGAAGCGAAGTAATTTAGCAAGAGTTTATAGTTAAAAACAGGATGTTGCTATCTTTTAAATTAATCTTAAACTGGTAGACATATGAAATGAGGGGATAGGGAGAACTAATGTGTTACCTGTCATTCACTCAGCAGAGTGATGCATTTGCAAATATTTATAGTTCTATATGCTATTTCCCATTTTACCTCCCAGTGTTGGTGCTGTTTTTCACTGCTACATTTATCTCTGTTCATATCTGTAGGTTTGGAAATGTTTGCATTATGATGCTATCACTATCATGAGTATTCTGAGCAAAGTAATGCAAAAGTTAGCTAGCAAAAATGAACTGAGCCTAGACTTGAGCATACTTTTACTTTATTTTAAATCTTTGTTTTAAACAGTCTGCTGATGATTTTAATATAGATCCCTAAACCCGCTTCACGGGCATGGACCTAAATTTGGGATGGTTGGCAGGGTTGGTTTTTTTCGTGGCTCAGCATGTATTTTTCCCACTACTCTTGAGGGAAGTGGGGTTTCATCTGCTTCCATAACAAACTCTACACCCTATAGAGCTTTACAGTCAGTGTATGGAGAAAAATGGATCAGAGGCAAGGTATATATTTTCCCCTCCCCCACTCCCCTATGGATCTGTGGAGAAATGAATGTAGTCTGCAGCAGAGTTGCATTACCTACAGCAGCGGGGATCAACCTTTTTGGTGGGCATGCCAGAAATTAAGCCTCACAACCTCCCTGCATACCACTCTGGTCCCCTTCCCCTGCTCAGTCTGCATCCCTGCTCTCTGCCCTGTGCTTCTTGCCTTATTTGGTGCTGTGGTGCCTGCCCCTTCCCAAGTCTGGCATGCCACACACAGAAGCTGCCTGTGCCACTTGTAACACATGCGCCACAGGCTGGCAGTCCTTGATCTATAGAACCTCTGGAGCCACTCTGCCAGGGAGATACAAGAGCATGCAGGGACCCTAGAACTAGTCTGCTTGGAGGACTCTGCCAGTAGATCCCCCAGTATTTACGTTGACCTTGAGGAGAGGATCTGTCCATTCTCTGATGTTTGAGTGTAGACCTTCATGAGCGTGGTTGGGAGAAAGCTCAGAAGGGAACTTCGCTTGCTGCAGTTCCCTTCTCCCTGTGTTTTGGTAGCAGGGATGATTCTGGCTCTGCTGTTAATACACATGCTAGGGTGTAGTTGTTACTTCCTGAATACTGTAGCTGTTATTTGTTACAGATGGTCAAATAAGAAAAGTGTTCCTAAACTTGGGGACATGAACTCATCATTTGAAGAGGTTGATGCATTTTATTCATTCTGGTAAGTGGAGGTTTCACTTCATAAACAAGGTACTTTCACTTTAAACATGCCATGTTGGATGGTAAGGGCTTTCATCTGTATGTCATTGGGTCAAGTCTGGTTTGGGCTGATAATGGCATAAAGTTACCTAAAGACTCTAGTTCCTGGTTAATATAGGTCTGTCTCATAAAACCACCCTATTGGCAATCTGACCAGAATGCCAAGGGTTGAATTGATCTTCAGCTCTGTGAATTACTGGATCTCTCTCTACACCAGTCTTGAAGAGAGAGCCACCAGCTTACTGACCATTTGTAGTAACTGTTGAAAGAGATAGTGTCATGTTAGATTCCTAAAAGAGATCTATTTACATTTTTTCCTGTTTTAGCAATTTGTGATGTGTTATAACAAGCTTTGTCTTACAATTAACTGGGACTTCTTAAAATAAGTATGCTGGTCAGTTGATACATAATCAGAAAATGGCCCATACTTTTATTTTTGCTGAAATGTTGCAGAAAAACATCTGGCAGTTTGCTATTCTGTCCTCCCATAGGTAGAATCTAGTTACTTATGTTTAGATTTCTTTCATCTTGATTCTGTTTATTTAAAGTGTCACCATAGAGCAAGGGTCAGCATTATTTTCTAGCAGCAGTCTGGAATGACCAGGGTTGGGTCAAAGGTGGGTCAGCATTAGGACCTGGCTGCTGCCATTGCTCCCCTCTGATACGCAGCTACAGTGTGGCATGGGCAAACACCTGACCAGCTAGCACAGCACAGTAGAGCAAGGGTAAAGGCCATTCATGGGATGGTTCTAATGACTCCACAGAGCAGATCTGGCTCAGCCTGTAAGTTGCCAACCCTTCCCATAGAGCAAGAGGAAGTGATGATCTTGGCAATCATAGACTGTTATGAAATGCAATTTCTGTTTCTAGCCTTGCCAAGACTCGTGTGACTTCAGTGTGCCCCAGCTTCTCTAGGTATAAAACAGGGATTGCATTAGTCTGCCTCACAACACATGGGAGCCTTGAATGAAAAAAGCTGTAGACTTATTATTAGTACTAGCATGACTACTGACACAGCTGCTTCAAAAAATGTGAAAGGCTAAAATCCTGAAATAAATTGGGTGGGTGGTAGTTCCTATAAATGGAAGATTGATGAAAAAATCCTTATTGAATAGTAGTTGGTTTAGAAGTCTTTGTCTGAATAAACAGCACTGAAGTACATTGAAGCAGAAAGGTGAAATCATTCTAATGTCCAAACGTATTGGGAATGTATATTTCTTAGAGGTTGCTTTTCTTGAATTTAGCGCGCAGAGCAATTCTTCGGTATTCAGTCAGATCTCTAAACTGTCTACAAGAACCTAAGATTAAGAATACAAAATATTTTTTAATCATTTTGCTACACTTTTGTTTTAAAATTTGATTTGGAAATTGTAGCTTTACCTTCATGTGGTTCTTCTGGTGTTGTTTTTACTATAGGTATAATTTTGATTCATGGAGAGAGTTTTCCTATTTAGATGAAGAGGAAAAAGAAAAGGCTGAATGGTATGTACGGTAAAGGTCCCTGACAAGAGACCGACTAACACAGCAAAATATTTTTGGCTTTTTCTTAGACTGTTAATTAGAGAGAGGGAAGGAGCATAGTTACTGGAATATAGGACTGTGTATGAGGAATTCGGAGTTTCATTCCAGCTTCTGCCCTGACCGTCGACAAATTATACTGCCTTTGCTTCACTGTTTGTAAAACTGCAATATTTCTTGCTCGTTTCACAGCTGTTTGTGAAGCTCTGCAAGATCCTAAAATAAAAAGATTACACAGGTGCAGAGTATTTATTTCTTGTTGTGACCACACTGTGAAGTTACACAGATACAAAGAGATTGCAAGACCAGATTGGACTTGGAGCCAGGGTGGTATAACTAGGTGTCACTTCCCTGTCTAGTTCAGCACTGCACCAGTCCTCCACTGTACCTGCCTTGTCTAATTAGATTTAGACAGGAAGGTGCTGATGTCTTGGTGTTTCTACGGGTCCTGTGACGCTTGTAAAAATAGTGGCATCAACTGAATTGTCCTGACTATATTCCAAGTGAATGTTTGATTCTTCCTACTGTATCCCTCCACCTCCTGTAGCTATTATTCACAAAAGAGTAGAGTGCAAGTTACAGAAAATTACATTGCCTAACTTGACCTTGTATTTCACAAGTCACTAATTTCATCAATTTACTCCTCCACTGAGCTTTCTTATCTTCCAGAAAAGCATCCAGTTTTGATTTGGAGGCATTGAGAAATGGAAAACCCTCCATTTCCTTTGTCAGGTTATTCTGGTGGTTAATCACTGTTAAATCCATTCTTACATTCAAATTTGACTTTGTCCAGGGTCATCATGCAGCTCTTGGCCCTTTTGTCCCTTCTTCTGCTGTTAGATTCATGAGCCATGTAGTGCCCAGTACTTTCTCCCTATGAAGGGACTTCCACACTGTAAGCCAGCTGGCACTCACTACCTTGCTGGGGCAGGATTTCCTTCACATGTGAATTGTAGAAGCCATTTGAGAACTGCCTCCCAAAGAGCCCTTGCACACCCTCTTGTTGGGAGTATGCTGAGGTTGCTGAGGTGTGTTGGGAGCCAGGCTACTGCAGAGATCCTAGGCAGCCCTTTGATCCAAAGGGTAGTCCCAGGAGGCTGCCAGAACTTTGACAAACCATGAAGGAAATTAGAGTCACAGTAGGGCCTTTCCAGCTGCTAGAATGGCCCATGACTGGGAGGATGCAAAAGTTGCTTAAAGCTGGCTAAGCACCTCTCCCCTTGGGCTGTGAGTTCTCTGATGCCCATCTCGGGGCACAGAGGTGCCCCACATTTGTAACTGATTGGTAAGCTAGACAGTGTAGGGCTGTGGAGCTGTCATGGGGAGGTTCAACCTAGCAGGCTGCCACTTTATTCTGTAAGTCTCCATTTTTTTGTGTTTGAAATTAAACCCCCTGCAAAATGGGTTGTGTACTGAAACTGCTAATAGACTATTAACCATGCTGGTAAATGGCTGGGCTGAACTAACACCATGCCTTCCAATTTGAAGTCGAGATGAGAGGAGGTGGATTGAAAAGCAGAACAGAGCTGCCAGAGCACTGAGGAAAAAAGAAGAGATGAACAGGATAAGGACACTGGTTGGTGAGTGTAAATCCTAACTTTTTAAAAAAGGGATTTTGTTAACTAACACCAAAAATCTTCCAAGTGCCCTTTTCACATTCACAATACTCCCCTCCTCTTAGACAATGCCTACAGCTGTGATCCTCGAATAAAGAAATTCAAGGAAGAGGAAAAGGCAAAGAAGGAAGCAGAGAAGAAGGCAAAAGTAGAAGCAAAACGAAAAGAACAGGAAGCAAAGGAGAAAGTAAGCTTTTGTTAATAATTAACAAAATTATTAATTAACTCTGTGTACTTAGGTCAAGAAATTCTGAGACCTGATCTCTGCCCAAGCTTCTAGATCCTAGAAAAATCAGAAATTCAGAATTCCATTGAGATCTGGGACATGATCTCTTCCACCTTGTTTCAGTGCCAAAACGCATGGGGAGACAGGGACATAAACCTGTCAAGGCTGAGCAAGTGAGATGCGGCCTACCAGCCAGAACACAAACCCATTCAAGTGTCTAACATTGACTCTGTGTAGTGCTGACTGTGGCCTGGGACAAGTCACTTCCATTTGTGAGAATGATGGCATTACTTCATGGAAGTGTTGTGTGGATTGGTTGGTGAAAAGCATTTTGTAGATGAGCAGCATTATGTACTTACTAACGATAGCAATCTGCAACATACCAGCTGCCAACCCTTTTTGTTATTTAAGAGGCTGGAAATTGTAAGGTGCTAAGCACAATAGTGTAACTTTTCAAAAAGATCTGATCTCTTGCAATTTGCAAGCGTGCATACTTCCAGGATGATTGTGTGGTTGTTTTTTTTTGTTTTTTTTGTTTTTTTCAAGCACTGGTTCAAGAACAGAAATATGAAATTCTGTATTTCAAATTGCCATACATTTGTATGTTAAGCAACTGAGGATGGTTAGTTTCTAGTAAAGTATTTATGTAATGGCAAGCATATGTGTTTATCTCTCTTTTTTTGAATTGTCAGTCTTCCAAGCATTTCAGTCCTAGTGGTTTTATTCAGTGTATTGAAATGGCACATCTGACAGCAATAAGAATTCCAAATTTCAGTTTTTCCTTTGATTGCAGCAAAGACAAGCCGAGTTAGAAGCAGCACGGTTAGCTAAGGAAAAGGAAGAGGAAGAAGTCAGACAACAAGCACTACTAGCAAAAAAAGAGAAAGAAATACAAAAAAAAGCAATTAAGAAGGAAAGGCAAAAATTAAGAACAACATGCAAGGTATTTACACATCATTATCATCAGATGTAGACGGCAGTAATAAAATTGTCACACTTGCTTTGATCAGATCCTTTCTTTTTGAGCCAAATCACTTGTATGTTTGCTTTAACAACTGGGACGGGGGCATAATAAAATGGTGTTTATAGGTAAGTGCCTCGTATCTAGTCAAAACACTTTAACTATAACTTAAAAGGAAATATCCTGATACTTTTTTTTTAGTACCAAATCAGACCACGGAGAGAAGTTTTGCTGCGAAAAAGCAAACCAGCATCACTTCATAAAGGCAATTTAGTATTTTATTTTTGAATTGTTAAAGTGTACACTGTCTTAGTATGGTTTTCAGTTACTTCATAAAAGTTTTATAGCCATAGTCATTTTAATAGTGAAGAAATTTAATAGCATTAGAATTTTATTGTCCTGTTCCTTCAAGAGAAGAAATGTACTTTTACTTTCAGAACTGGAATTACTTCTCTGATAATGAGGCAGAGTGTGTTAAAATGATGGAAGAGGTGGAAAAGCTTTGTGACCGTCTTGAACTAACAAGGTACGTTTTCCTGAATCTCACTTCTCTACATTTTGATATCCGTCTTTCTAATAGATCTCCAATGTAACTTAATAATTTATTTTTAGTCTGCAATACTTGAATGAAGCACTTACATCCACGACAAGGGAAGGAGGAAAGGCTGCTGTAGTTAAACAGGTAATTATATACGGTGTCCAACCAAAGTAATAAAAATTAATGGTGCTTACTTGACTGAATGAGAACATCTTAACAAGTGAATGTTGCTGTAAGATATGCATCTTAGCTTAGGTTACTTTTAGCGTGGTATGAATAGTTCTTGACCTGAATCTCATTGTTCCAAACCAGACAGATTTGGTAGCTACTTCTAATAATAAAGAGCATAGTTCAGGTTTATTTTAACTTTGTGGTACCAGCAGAGCAAAAGTGTATGCATTTTTAGATGATGCATAATATGTAAATATCACAGTATCTGGTACAATATGCCATAAATAGATGAGGAAGTTCATATTCCCCCAGCAAGAATAAATTAGTCAGTGAAAAAACACCCTGTCTGTGTTTGTTCTATTATGCAAGGAAAATCCTAGCACCCGGGGCCAATGACTGAGGTGGATCCACAAAAGGACTTTAAGGCCACAACTTTTAATCACCTAGCTGCCTGGCAGAATCCCATCTCAAGTGAGGTGCCTCAGCTCCTTAGCTGAGGCCTGGGGAAATTGGTGCTTAGGAATGGGGTTCACAAAAGCCAGGAAAGTGTGCAGGAAAACGCCTAAGCCAGCCAGCAGGAAATGCTAAGTAGGAGGGTATGGTTTAAACCCCATCTGTTTTAGTGTAAGAAGCTTCCTGTTGTTTGGTTTGGATTCACAGCCATCTGTTAGGTGGGTGTTTGCACCAACCCTTTCTCACAAAACATGCAAGAAGGTGGTGCTATCCCCATCTCCCTTCATCCAGAAACCAGGCAGCACTTACCCAGGATGTGGAAGGCCAGTATGTACCAGTTGGTGCCTTTGCCTGAGGAAGCTTAAGCTCCCTCCTTGCACCTCCTAGTAGTGGACTAACAACAAGGCTACGGGGGCTCCATCTCTGCTGTTGAAGTGGTTCAACTTTTATAGCATAAGCAAGCATTCAGTCTGAGAGAACAGCTCTGTGGCCCAGAAATTTTTATTTGATATTAAGTACTTCTTAGGACAGGGATGGAAGCCCAAATCTTCCCCCTCTCACTCATCCCAAGGTGAGTGTCCTAACCACTGTGCTGTAAAGAGTTGGTTGAGAAAGGCGTTAAGGAAGTTGCACATCAAAATGCCCTATAACAGTGATTCGCAGCCAAGGAGTCATGGCCCCTGGGGTGCCCTAGAATCCTTTCCAGGGTGCTGCACAGTGTTAGCACACTTTGGTGTGCAGACATGATTCACAAGACAAACAAAATATATTTCAAATAGGAATTTGTGGTGTTAAAAATGTACTGACCTGTTGGGGGTCTTTCTGAGGTCTTTGCAACAGAAAAATCACTCTGTTAGTTTTCACTTGTTTTTTAACTACAGAAAAATAAGCTGGCATTTGAACACATTTGGTGCCTTGAATGTAAAAAGGTTGCGAACCACTGCCCCATAGCCTGGTGTCTAAGGCTGCAGGATGTGAGCTTTGTTGGTTCAGGTCCTCTCAGGCAGAGGAAGGATTTGAACTACAGTCTCCCACTACCTGGGTAAGTGGTCTAACCACTGGACTATTGAGAAAATGAATCACACAGTCACTCCCTCCTTGCAGTTGTCTTGCAAGGCACAATCCTGGAGGGAGCCACGGACAAGATAGAGCAACATTTAGTTTATGAATCTTGCCTATGGGACAGGCACCTACCTACTCAACACTAAGGCTGGGGTGGGCAAAATATGGCCTACTTACTGATCCTATCCTGCCTGCTGGACACTGCTGAAAGCCTGAGGAGGTGAGTCCGTGCCAGCCAAAGAGGGGCTTGACCTGGGGATGCTGTCCCCAACTATCCTGGTGTAGCGTGGTGGCAGCAGCTCATCGCAACAGGCAGGACAAGCTACTTGGCACGCTGCACTGCGCCCCTCCTGCCCATCTGCCATAGTGCCAGGACTGCACAGCACCAACAGGAAGCTGGGAGTGGAGGAGTCTGTATGGTCCAGCCCAGCCCTGACTGTGGCAGAGCAGAATGGCACAGGGCACAGATTTCCTTTCTCAGGCTACTGGTGGTGGATCAGCCCCACAGGATCAGTTGGTGTCCTCCTGCCCACCTGCCCCTCAACTGTTCCACAAAACTTGGTAAATGGCTAATTGCCTACCCCTGGTTTAAGGTGTACCCAGATACAGCCATCTCAGGAAGGTCTATGCTGTACAGATGTGGTATGGACATGCCCAAGTTAGCTTCTTCTGTAAGCCTATCTGGATCCTGGATAAGTATTTAGCAGCTGATGCCTATGTTGCTGCAGGTAGACTGCTTGTACCAAAGCTAGAAAGACTGCTCATAAGAACTACAGTCATGCCCAGAGATGCCTAGGGAATTTTGGTGGCAGAAATTAGGCCCGTGGGAACTTACAGCTCCTCTTGAATTAAGGCAACAGCTGAGTAGGGGTTTTGAAGATCTGTGTTTTGGACGTAGGCATCTTACTGCCCCTAACTCATTCCAGGTTCCTGAGTCCTTTTGTGGATCTAGCTCCAAGTGTGAGCAGTCAGTCTAGGCCTCCCCATAAGGTAAAACACTAATTGACAGTATCAGTTAAGTATCATGAGTTCACACTGCCTGTGCACCCACTGGTGTTTTGTGATGCCTTTGAGCATAACTGCATTGCCCTTACATTGTTGCTTTGCTGGGGAAGTCACAGAGCAGAAGGGTTGTGTTGTGCCAAATATAATGCAGAGACTAAAGAAACTAAACAAAGTTGAAGGCCTGAAAGCAGTTCCAGCAGCTGAAGAGTTAGAGGGGGCATTTGGTGTGGTTTGTGCCAAGGACATATTAAAATTAATAGATGCACGTTTCCATTCATGCAGATAGAAGAAGTAAATGAGCACATAAGGCGAGAGAAAGAAGAGGCAGAGGCTCGTATACGCCAGGCATCAAAGAGTTCAGAGAGGTCAACGAGCAGTGGTGGAGGGGGGAGTAAAAACTGGTCAGAAGACGACTTGCAGTTACTGATTAAAGCTGTGAACCTCTTCCCAGCTGGGACAAATTCAAGGTACTTGGTCTCCTTTTCTGCATATTAAATGTATTAAAGAATTACACAAGAATTTTCCATTAACTAAAATAGAAAAGGCCAACTCGCTGCATTTCTCTTGAATGCTCCTTTAATATTTTTGCCCAATGACATCCCTTCATGTTGGCTGTTGAGTCTAATTTTAATTCAGGCTCAACAGCTCTCTGGCATCACTTTGCCTGGGACAAGAATTGGGTTTAGAGGCCTTGACGAGTGCTATCCCAGGCTTAAGTCTAGATTCTTCAACGGGCATGTCCATGTGGAGATGAGTGCAAGGTAGAGATCTTAGCCATTAAAGCCCAGATTCACAAAGGGATTCAAATAACTGCTCCCCCCTCCTGTCACAGAATCCAAAGCCCCAAATTAGAGGTTTGGACTTCCCATACAATAACCACAGTAGGGTCAGAGCTACCAAACTAGCCAGTTGAAATCCTGAGGATGAATTTTTTTTTTCCATTACTACTCCCTCCAGGTTTTAGTCACTATGCTGTAGGTTACAGGGAGGCATTTCCCTCCATTCAATATTCATAGCCCAGAATCCTCCATTGAAGGTCAGCATCTAAGTCTTCTTAACAAGCTTTTTTTTTTTTTTCTTTTACCATTATTTAAATGGTGGGACTTCTCCTGGCCAATAAATGAGCTCTCAGAGAGAGGTGAACCAAGGCCTCCAGCATTCTACTCTAAAGGGATTCAAGCCACCATCTCCCTTCTCTGAGAAGGGCCTCAACCCCCAGCCTATGTAAACTCACTGCACTGTAATGCAAAATTTTCACATTGTTGAGTGAATACCTGGTATACTATTGACTATTTAAATACAGTGGACTGCTTCCAAAGCACCGAGTGCCCAGGATTAGACTTACTTCTGCATGCATTTACTTGAGCTTGTCTGAAAAATATTTAAGAGATTAATTGTCAACACTGTAGTGTATACTCTGCATTATTTAAACTTTTTTCTTATTTCTTTGTCCCTCCCCACCCACCTCCCATCTTCATGTAGGTGGGAAGTTATTGCCAATTATATGAACTTGCACTCTACTACTGGAATAAAACGCACAGCAAAAGATGTCATCAATAAAGCAAAGAGCCTCCAGAAACTTGGTATCTTTATGATCTGTGTACTTCTGTGTTTATGTAATAACTTTAACTTTCCTTTCAAAAACATCATTTGTTGTCTGTTCCCAAGTTGTTTCCGTCTCCAAGAAGGGAAGAGAACATTGGTGTTGGCAAACACATGCCTCCTGAGTAGATAGAGATCTTATTTCGTATCTTATGAAACAGCTGCACTGCTGCAAAGTGCAGATGCAGTTCAGTGCAGGACTTCAGGGCAACTTCCAGCAACAAAATACCATGACGCTACCCTGTACACCAGTCACACTGAAAATATTTACTCTAGTAAATCTCCAGGGGTGTGGTTAATAAATTATTCCAAGGTAAGAGGAGGATGGGCTTTATCATATCGGCCATTACTACACCATAGGAAGTAAAAGATAACTGATTCAGGGGTAAGCTACCCTGGTTTAGTTTTCACTCGGCTAGGAGCAGACACACGGGAGTTACCACAGAGATGCCAAAGCCTGATAATTCTCCACCCTGATGTGGGTACAATTCACTCATGTTAGTCTCCTTCCAAATGTTATTTTCCTCCAGCTCCATTTTGCAGTAGAGATTAAGTGCATTGCTTAAAAAGATTTTCTCAGTCACTTTATCTTGAGAATTTACTGACATATTGGCATGAGAGTCCTAATATTTCACAGTATTCCTGATGAACTGCTTAGCCATGTAGACCATCTGGGTAACACTTTTTCAGTAAAGACATGAAATGTTTAAAGTCCTCCCTTATGGGTATAACTCCACTCAGCTTTGTGTAAGGGCTTCAGGACCAGACCCCAACTCCCTTGACAGTATTCTGATAGCTGTATAAACCTATAATAGAACTAAAAAAATGCAAAAACTTAATCTAGCATGCATAAAGATCACCGAGGCTTCAGCTATCAGCCTCATACTAAGGTCTGAAATAAAATGGATTATCAGAGCCGTGGTAAGTATATATGAGTGTTTCTCTTATGAGCTGTATTAACATTCAGTAGTTTAACTTTGCTTTGTGGTAAGTCTGCCAACTAAATACAGCTCTGTTACCCTCAGACCCTCATCAGAAGGATGACATAAACAAGAAGGCTTTTGATAAGTTTAAAAAGGACCATGGAGCAGTGCCTCAGCTGGACAATGCTGCACCTTCAGAGCGGTTTGAAGGTAAGGATGAAAGAGAAATATTTTCAGCCCTCCAGAGTACTCTTTCCTGTAACTTAGTTTGGTAAGAGACTATAGCCCAAGTTCTGAATTTAGATGGCCGTAACAGGTTTCCAGCATGTTGGCCTTCCATGCTCAGCAAGTTAGGCTTTCTGTAGAGCGCTCTTTCCCCATGGGACAGAAGCCATAGCTAATAGTTGTAGCTAAGGATGCATGGGATCCACTGAAGAAATGGAGACATAACAACTCCTCCCAGCTTGGCTCTGAGCCCCAGAATCCTCCACCTAAGATCATCTTTGGCAGGGAAGGGTCCAAACCTTTGCTTGGAACGTTTTAAGTATTTCTTTCTTGAAATGAAAAGAAGTTTAGACACCTTTGCTCCAGGAACTTTAGTAGTACATATCTGTAGAAATAATTTTAAAACTAGTCTCATCACAAAAGAGGTCTCATACTTGAAAAAACCTACTGAGCCAGGAATCCCTTTTTCCTCATCTGTCTTTTTCTTTAAACAGGACCACTCACAGATTCATCCCCTTGGACTACAGAAGAACAAAAACTTTTAGAACAAGCTCTGAAGACATATCCAGTAAATACGCCTGAAAGGTGGGAGAAAATAGCAGCTGCTGTCCCAGGCCGGTCAAAAAAAGACTGCATGAAGCGATATAAGGTAAGATATCCTGCTTTCCTATAGTTACATGATAACGCTGCCAGATGCTAACTGGCTTTTAGGTGCTGTGGCCTACAGGTTCAGCAAGGGTAATTTGTGAAAAAGCTCAGAAAAGTCAGACAGCAGAAGTAGCAACAAGGATATATCTAAATCAGAAGTAATGCCTCTAAAATGCCAATCTGATCAGCATCAGGAGAGAAATAAGAATAAGTTCCATAGATTCATAATTAGGGGCTGGAGGGCACCTTGCAAATCCATCGGGTGGGTCCAGGCCCCCTGCTCTAGGCAGGAAGATAACTGGGGTTAGGTGACCCCAATGAGGTGACTGTCCAGTCTCCTCTTGCAAACCTCCAGGGTAGGTAACTGCACCACTTCTGGGAGGGAGTTTATTCCACAGTCTGGACACCCTGACTGAAGGAGTTTGTATCCATTGGTCCTGGTCTTCCCCAGGGGTGCCCTAGTGAACAGCTGTTCACTGAACTCCTGATGTACTCTTCTGATATAGCAGTAAGCCGTTATCAAGTCCCCTCTCAACCATCTTTTCCTTAGACTAAAGAGGCCCAGGTCTCTCAGCCTTTCCTCAGGTGGCTCTTTTCTGGACCCTGTCAAGTTTTTCCACATCCTTATTGAAGTGCAGCACTGAGAACTGGACACAGTACTCCAACTGCGGTCTCACCAGTGTGGAGTGCAGTGGGAGTATCACTTCCTTAATTTTATACAAGGTGCACTGGTTGATGCATGCCACTGTGCTGCTGATCACTGCCTCATACTGACGGCTCATATTCATGCAATGGTCAGTCATTACCCCTAAGTCCCTTTCGGCTGTGGTGCATATCAGGCTGTCACCACTGAGCCTGTATGTATGTTGAGGGTTGTTTGCCCCCAGATGGAGTTTAAACTCTAAGTGTGAGGTGCTCCAAGTGTAAAGTGCTCAAGAAGTTAAAGTTTAAAACTTCCTTACAAAATTCAGTACTGCTGAAAAGGAAAGTATTTGTTTCACAGAGATGAAGGAAGGTTGCCATTCAGTCAGGATCAGGGTCAATATTTAAAAAAAAAGTTTTTTTTTTTTTAAGGATTTTTATTATGTAAATCACATTCAAGATGCTTTTAACCTATATATTTACTTACGTTAAAGCTCAAAGATATTATCATAGAATAAGGATTATAGTTTCTAATTATATACTACTTGAGACAATATATTCATGTAACCTTTTTAGAAAAGTTTTATAAATAGGTCACACCAGGCCATGGATTATAGTAGGGACCCAGTTGTAGGGGGTTCCCAGAAACTTCTCTATCGATTAGTAAAGATTAAAGAAAACCACTCTACCCAGTGTAACTCAGAGCTCAGCCTAGAAGATCCCATTAAACATCTCTGTGATGTTTAGTTTGAGTTCTCACTATGGATTTGTCTCTCCAGAAATAACATCCTTGTTAACAGCAGTATATGGAGATAAGACCTGATTACCTACTTATCAGCCCTATTGTCTCTCTGCAAGCGAGTGTACACAGAGTCAAGCCCTTATCCAGAGAAACTGTAAAGTTTCAAGAAGTTAAATGAATATAGGATTGTTGGGGGTGGAGTAGATCTTGGCAAGGTGGAAGAGTATGGAGATAAATGAAAGAAAGGAGGATGGGCAGTAGAAATGAAACATTGAGCAGAATTTTGGTGAAATTGCAAAGTACTTCTGTAACAACCATCTTACAGCAGCCGCTCTGAAGAAAACAGAAGGAACCTCCTGCAGGACTTGCAATGGAATGCAGTAGTGAGCTGTTTTAAGCAATATATTGAGAACTGGCCAGATCTGATTACAATTTATGAACAAAGTTGTGACAAAATGGATGGAATTGTCATAGGCAAAGTTCTCAACATTGGGGTAAAGAGAAGTGTAGAATGTAAACTGACTATCATCCTGAAGCCTAATTTCCATAGCCTTGAACAAAAATTATATCAACAAGATGCACTTTGTAGAAAAGTTATTAAAATCAAGGCTTCCTACCCAGTGATTGTAAATCAACTTGATTTAAATCACATCCACCCTGGTCAGGATAAACATACATTCTAGTCATCCTTTTTAAAATATATGTTATAGTACTGGTGAAGGTAGGAAGTTAGAGAAAGGGACAAAGATATTGTATTTTGTGTCCTGCTAATATCACAGATGTGAACAAATGTTAAGTCATACTTTAAATTTGGACATGCAGCATATCCATAGCCCTGAATTCTTAGCATAAAAATGTTAGAAAAATGTAGGTGAGACTAAATACCAGTTATGTTAAGAGCAGTTGTCAGAATGTGCAAATTGAACTTTTTCTTCTCCTTTTACCCTCAGGAACTTGTTGAAATGGTTAAAGCAAAGAAAGCAGCCCAAGAACAAGTGTTGAATGCTACTAAAGCCAAGAAATGACTCTTACTGACAATCTTTGTTTTCTGTTTTATAATAAAATGCAAATACTGTATGTTTTCATTCTTTACCATGGTTATTATCCTTATAAGGGAGTAAGTGTGGTGGCACTCATGTATAATTTTCCAAAATCTGTTCTTAACCTCTGGTCAGACTTGTTTGTCCAGTTACATGAACCAAAACAGTCAACAATACCCCCAAATTATTTTTTAAAGTAGCATCTAGAAGCTTGAAACTGTAATTGTTTCCTTATACTTCCTGCCTTCTGGCTTGTTTGTCTGAAGAAAGCAGTCCAAACTTATCCATCTACCAGCCTTGTGATACCATCTTTACTTTGTCTTCATAAAGAACTGCTTTTGGAAACCTCTACCCCAAAATGTTCCTAAGCACGAAGCCAGTACATGCCACTACAGATTCTGTTATAATCAGGGAGCTGTTCAATTGGACCTAGAAATTAAAAAGAAGAGTCAGTCACAGTATTTATTCATTGCATTGCTTAGAGAGGTCAGGAAGTTAAAAAGGAAAACAAGCTTACCTACAGCCGCAATGGCAGGGCACTTCTCGTAAATGTACTTTGTGCAAATTTCTTGTATGACCTGGGCATCAATAGCCTAAAAGATTGTTTGTTGTTGTTTTTGTTTTTTTTTAAAAGAAAGAGATAAAAATTATCACTAGTCTTATCTAAAAAACATATTAAAAGCAAGCACTCAAATTAATTACTTTTAGAAGTAGTTCCAGAGCTATAGTCTTTCTAGAAGGCTAAAACTGACAAATGTCATCTCACGACAGTGAAGCTGAGATATTAATACACTTCATTTTGAAAATAAAACATAGGTTTACTGCTTACTTCAATCCTTGCTTCAAGTTCAGGAATTGGAATTCTGCGATTGTAACACAACATCTGTCGTCCAATGTCCTCACAGATTGGAGTGGATCCTAGTACAGGAAAAATCCTCTAATTATCAACATAAGAAAAGAATTAGAACTTTAAAAAACCCCCAAAACAGCATACACCTTACCATCTAGCTGTAGCAGCATATTTGTTTTAAGAAGGTTCTTGGCTCGAGCTACCTCACTTTCAGTAACACTTGTGCAGAGTCGTATCCTGAAAGACAGTCTGAGTCAGTGCTCTTCTAAATTAAACTCAGTTACTAAAAGTGGGGAACACCTACAGTATAGAGGCAAACATCCCTTATCCTGGAACAGTGCACTTATGGAGGGCAGAGAATTAGAATATGCTTTTCCCTGAAATACAAGATTGATTCTGAAAGAAGCCAAAAAGTTAAAACAATAAAAACGTTTAAGGCTGAACCTCAGGACAATTTCCTAATGACAAGAGCAATTAGAAGTTAAGCTCCACAAAACACAGCTGTATTTGAACAGGTACCCATTGGTGTTATACACAAAGCACATGGGAAAGGCAAAGGAAAACATCAGATTAAAAGGTTCCCAAAACAATGGCCTGCACAGCACTAGCTGGGCAGAAAAAAAGCCTGCTCCTCTTTCCCTTGCACCAAATTCCATTAAGCAGGCAAATAAAGTCATACTTTAGATTTTAACTTTAGTGATTTACCACACACATCATGAGATGACACTAGGGAGAATCTACGCAACAGACAACTAGAGCATGCCACAAGTTTTCATCAGATTGACAAGCCAGTGATCAGTATAATTTACAGCCTAAAGTTTCAGAAAAATTCTTGCTTAATTGCACCTTGCTTGTATAATTATATTTTCATAAACATTTGTTGGTTTGCCAGGTTAGATGCACAAGCAAATGACAGTGTAGACAACTAATCGTCAGGCATATAATGACAGGCATTCTCTACAAAGCTAAAACTCAGCTTTATGTAATTGTTGTGTGCAGTCAAGATGCATATTATCTATTGCTCAGAGTTAAATGTGGAACAGACCTTTCTTAGCACGTCTTACTCAGCATCACATAACCCTCCTCCTGCTGAAAAGCTTAAATTTATAAATCAAAGGGTAGTTACTGCCATCCTGGGCTAGACTGCGCTACTCAGTTTTCTGAGGATTACTTCACCTTACAAGTGATCCTGCTGCTTTCACTACAGCTGCTTGCAGGGTAAGATGCAACTCACTGGGTATGCCTCCATGTTCATTAATGTGCTGTAATTAGTGTGCATCAAGATTAGTACTTGTATAATCAAGTACTAAATTAACACGGAGTAATGGTTACTGCGCAGTAGTGCAGCCACATGCTTTTAGTGACAATACTGTGCAGTAGCCTAATAACTGCACAATGTATTGGCACTGTTTGTGCTGCAACATGCTATTGCATAGTATTGTTAGACTACTGCACAGTTAGCATCTCATGTAGATGCACTCATTATGAAGTAAGGAAACTGGCCTTGTGGGAAGAGACAAGTTTATAAAAGGTAGGAACTTGATCCATTTGTTCTTTCCTGACAAACCTGAGCCCATGCAGACAGACCACTTACTGGCTTCAGAAGGTGGTGACTTTCAAATAGACATCCCTGAAGGTAAAACAAGCTATTTTAAGGAAGTGGTTATAGTCTTACCATTCTCTCTGAACAAAATGCATCATGTCCTGAATAGTGGATGGTTCACAAACCATATAGAGCCCCCACAATCCAGTATCAGTGTAACAGGTGTTGAAGGACTGGAAACTATGACACAAGTTGCCATGACAAGTGATCTGGGCAAGTTTACTGGATAAGTTCTGTTAAAACAAAAGAATGCATTTTAGGATTAAAAACCAACCACACACACACACACAACACCTGCACTGACTCATTAATGCTATTTCAGGTGTAACCAAACAGGTGACTTCTCCCACAAGCAACAAGACTGTGACCAAGTTAAGCTCTTGTACGGGGCAGCCAAGTTCCTCCTACTCTTCTCTCACACTTCCAAGCAACACTGTAAACCGGAGCCAGTGATTTAACCAAGGACCTACCAAGCTCCAAGGAAGAGAACTACAGGGGCCTGCAGATTTTCATTACTTACAGCTTTGAACCATTTTGTTTACCACTAGTTTCCACTCAGAGTTGCTAGGCTGCATAAGAGCTAGTCAATTTGATTCAGTGTGTGTTTTTCCCCCACATGCATCTGGATCCATTTCCCAGATGATACCAGAATGTGCTCACAGATCTTGTGCTGAAGTCAGATTTGTTAATATGCCTCTAAAAATAATCAGCTGAACCATCGACATCATGGCAGTTGGGATGTGGGAACTGTACTGATGCTGATAAGTACCCAAATAAGTTAAATCTCTCAGATACGATTAACCCTTGTCCACTCACCACGCCTCCTCCGAAAGAACGATCCCAGTTGCCTATCAGGGTATTTGCTACCATCAGGGGAATGGTATCTGGGTGAGTCCAGCCAGCTGCTTCAACAGCTATCGCAATATACGCCAAAGGCATCTTGTCATCTCTTACACGAATCTGTTGAAGAATCATGAGAACATAACCCCAGCTACTGCAGTAACACGATGCATGTCCAATAACTTGATACATCATGGTACACAAGTTAGCTTAAGGAAGCAGGGATTTGAAATAAATCTCTAGTGTAAAGCATGCACAAAGGTATAGCATCCAGTCTGAAAGAAGGTACAGCTTTATCCAATAGCACCTTGAGCTAGGACTTCTGCCTGAAGTATGTCAATGCATTGTATAATGTTCTGTTTATGCATGCTGTTGGGCTTTACTGTTTGTAAGTGGTTTTAGAAGTAGATAAAAAAAACAAACCACACAGAAGGATTATGTAAATTCTCAGGATCCAGACAGAACAGGGAGCACAGCCCAGGTGTTTTAAGTTCCTTAATTTCCTGTAACCTTTAAACACCCTCCCCTCCAATGGAGAGCAAACACCTCCAAAAGGTGATGAGAGCACAAAGAGTTCCCATTAACTTCAATGGGAACAAGCCATACTCAGCTGTTGTGAAAGCTGGGCAAGAAGTTTGTGTGACCAGACAGCATATAATAATGCTGCAGTATCAGTTGGCTGGGGATGCAATTAACCTAAAGAAGCAAACTCATGGCTTACCTCACTACCTGTGAATCTGCAGGGGGGCAAGGCTGGCACTCCTTCCTCAGTAGATGGTAAATTACCAAAATGATCCTTTGCTAAGTCAAGCAAGTCATCATGAGAGACTCCTGAACAAAGGAATTGCACACACACTGGTTTTAAAAAGATGCCTCTGAACAGATCATTTAACTGTGCTGTAATTAAAAGGCTTCAACCAAGATGCCAATGATTCATCATAACCCCAGGGTCTCACATACTGAATGCTGCACATTCTGGATTCCCCCTCCTCCCAACTCCTTCCCATTATCCTTATCACCTTTCTCCTCAATGTCCTTCAACTGCTTCCTATCTGATATTGCACCAAGGCTACATGCTCTTAACCTCAAGGCCACACATCATCTCAACCCATTTTCAGCTCTGCTCAGTTTTACTATTCTCCTTATCCCTCTTTGAACTCCTAATCCCTTCATCACCTGCTCAGCTGTTCACTTACTGTACACCAAGAAGCACCCAACTCTCCCACATCTCTCCCAAATATAGATTTAAGGATTTCCCTAGAAAATTAGGAGGGGAAAGATCAAATAGATGAGCAGGATGATGGCACATAAAACACCACCATAGAAGCATGACAAATAAGGCTAAGTGGGATGAATTCTAGTCTGCAGTTCTTGAGGGGAACACTTTGGGATGCTCAGCATGAGCACATATTGATGTAAATAGCTTTATAAGAAAGACACCTATATACTCTTCACCCCAGTGGCAAATGGCAGCCTGGGCTTGATAACAGGCTGCAGAGACTACTCTGATTGGTTCCCTATAACTCTGTGTTTTGTTTTATTGGGTGTTAATCCTATAGTTTAGTAACTCTTTTGTTCCAAGTGTGACTGGCCCTGAAAAGAAAGGGTGACACTCAGAGAATGCCAGGGTGAAAAAAACATGTCTCAGGGATGACAGAGTTAGAGAAAAAGGGTAGTCCTGGTAAGGACACAGTGAACAGTAAACAGGAGTCTGAATGAGGACCAACAAAACTACAGCGGTATT